TGGTCACATATTATGCCAAGATGGTCATGTATTGCCAATGGATAACATGACAAATTTGAAATTGCATACACTGTAATCGTTATAATTAGTAATCAATTTATTTAATCCAATGTACTGGATGTAATAATATTAAATGTATATGATCCATTTCTACTGTGTTCAATGATATAGAAGTTCCTTAACTTAATGCCAAAACTTTATATTCATACCAACTCGACAACGCCGATACCAAAACAGATGTTACCATGGGCAGGACTGGTAGTAAAGCAGTGTTCTTTAACTCACATGCAATGTTCGCATATCATGCTGTAAAACAAACATCATCATAAAATCACTGTCAACAACCTCAAGTACGACAACCCAACTGAGTAAGTGACAGTCAATATATCTCCATTTCAAATGAAGCAAACTATTTGACAACTATGACAAGAACATATAGCCATGGACGACTTTCTGTGTAATCAAGGCTAAGACAACGCCTCTCATTGAAAGGTTTCCACAGCTTACAGCGAGTTGTTCAACTTCAATGAAAGCGAAATCCTAAGAAGGCCGTAGTATTTGAATCGATCCCTACTTCAGTTAATCCCAGCGGTTCATATTTCTGATTTAAAGATAGTTTGATAAACATCTGAAGCACAAGACGTGTATATTTGAATTAAATTTCATACGTGGACAGAAACTAGAATTTAAATAAGTTGAGAGAATATGTCTGCAAATTTTAGTTTCAAAGGACTAGTTTACAGATACAAACCCTATATACAGAAGCAACGGGCGTAGTCTCATACCAGTGTTCATAGGCTTTTCTGTCGCGGGTAGGACCATTAATTACAGCACTCTACATATTTTGATTTTCAAAAAAATAAGTTTAAGAAGGATATAATTTGAATTAAAAGCTAATAAATAAAAAAATAAACCTAAGGGTGAAAGGAATACTTTTGATATTGCATGTTTGACATTGTACAAGAATTAAATACCCCCGCGTACATTTCATCTTCTCAACCAATTCCAAACGTAAAAGAACTCTCAATATTGCTCTGTAAATTGATATATTGGTTTTACGAATATCTTAACATAATAATTCGTGTCTAGGACAACTTGACATACTGTAATTTAAGCATAAAAAACAACTAAAAAATGTTCTGAACCACCTGATTCTTGACTATAGTTAATCTGTCACGGCATGACACGTTTACTAGAGTAATAGGAAAGAATCAGGTGGTCCCGAACATTTTTTGAGTAGAATATGTGCAGTGGTATTTGACATTATGACACGAGGAGCTTAACTTGTTTTGAGTAGTATATAACAGTATGAAACGAGGACCTTAACTTTTTGTAAGTAATATATAACAGTATGACAAGACGAGGCATGATAAGTCGAGGTAGGTCCAAGCTCACAATAATAAATCTCTTTATTCCTATTCTATGGATCTTGTAACACATTCCCCATTTGTAAGAGAAGAGGGAACGATTCCAACTGGAAAAGTTTCCCACTAGGTTTGTTGACATCCATGTTGGAAAGGCTTCATTACTCAACCGTGAATTGAAAAAAATGATATTAATCATCAGCCACGTCTCAGCAATGTATGAAACACCTTTAGATACTGCCTCTCTGTGTAGTTACAAGCTACCACATAGGAGGCGGCGACACGAGCCCCGCCGCGGCTGCTTCCGTGTGATTAATCACGGTAGAGAATCTAGCTCTGTTTCTAGTCGACTTTGATATATATCCATATGCGTCCAGTTTCTAGCTTCGGTTAAAATGGTTTGAATAATAGTAATTCCACAAATAATTCTAAAGAATTCGATGAATATGGTTCTTATTGAACTATAACTTTCTCATACGATGAAATCTGAATAACAAAGTGTTGATTTTGTTAAGAACACTGAGTTATTTTCTATTTTTTTACGAATGAATGATTATGTGACATTATGCTTATATGATAAATAAATATGTATTTATAAATAAACTATACATTGACGACATAATTATGCTAACTGGAGTATTAATTTCATGGGTTTGTCGCAATGTTTTGATGGCCTCGTGTCTGTAGTGTTCTGGCGATGTCCTGGCTATGTAGAAACATAGCTTTCGTTATACGCCAGAACATTGACAACGTACATAAAACATATCATGGGTAAGTGTTATATGTTTTTATGGTACTGATGAAAATACTGACAAACGCACCTACTTTGTTCAGTTTATTCTGCTGCGAATCACCCGAGAACCTTAAGTGATATTCACCACAGAGTTAAATAATATATTGTTAATATCGCTTTTAAAGTATTCGCCGTTTGTCATGGTTGCTTTGAAATCGATATACATTCTGTCTGGGCTTGCGTTTCGATCTATGAATTAAGGAGTTAAATAATCCAGTTAAATAATTCAGTTATTTAACCTCGCCGGTCGCCATTCGATATTTAAAGAAAAAACTATAGTGTCAAGGTCACTTGGTTAGCTCAAATCTGTCATGAAATTATGGTCCTTTCCAGCGTCCATACACTTTGAAGTCAGAAACGTTCCATGTCACCATGCACTGGTACGCTCGTAGTGTTCGATATTGCTTGTTGTTATGGTAGCCAGTTCTAGCACTTGTTGGTCAAGTGGCGATATTCTCCACCCCAGCCAGATAATATATGGCCCGACGCTTACCGAATGCCCTTAATGCAACCCAGTTTGACTGCAAACATTCAATAGATATTTCTTTTTTTAGCCAAGTTCAGATTGATAGTCTTATTCATAATAATGTTTCTGTTTCAACAATTCTATGCAAATATTCCTCGCTACAAAGCTTATACCCGCATATACTATAGTAGTGGGTTTAGTATTATTGATCTTATAATAGCACATGCGTGTATACAACGCACGTTTAAGCTTCGGCAATAGTAAATGCAGATAGACCTCAAGGCTATTCATTGCGGGTTAATCCACTTTATGAAAAGCCGTGAAATTAAAGAAAAAACTACACGTGTTTTAATGTCCATGCACTATCGATGTACTTTTAAATTAAACAGACTTTTTGTAACACGTTTACCAAGAGTGAGTTTCTTCCATGAAGAGTGTGAATATATTCTCCAGTAAGGCATCACAGTTTGTCTGGTACTACACGTATTATGGGAGATTTTAACATTGGAAACGTTGCCCTCGCTGTATACAATCGCACCATTAGTATAAGAGGGTGTCTCTTTGACGCCGGTCTCTTTGAAACGAACGAAGACTACTTTCAAATAACTCCCCTGTCTGAATACGGCTAACAACAGTGAAATATCCGCGATAAGTGTCGCATTGATTTTTGCTGCGTGAAGAAAGTAATAGAGATTTGTTGGCAGTAAGTCACTGGGTTGTGAGCAGGATATAGTGTAATAGGTAAAATGTCGACGCTTTAATCGTGCATACACTGAAATATACGCTTGACGTCGTTTAATTGATTTTGTGTACTTAACTAATTATCGATTGTGTATTTAGAAAATAATGTCAGTGAATGAATATTTAAGTATTTTAATTCGACACAAAGGTTTAATTCGCGAAACATTTAAATCAATATCATTGTACGTTTTCTTATAGCGATCAGATACTTTCAATAAGAGAAATTATATTTCTTAATTCTTCCATTCCCTGGGATAATTACTCGGAACACTTCGTTTGACTAGTGTTGCCGAGGTTAGAATGTCCTTCAATATACAATACATGTGCTATTTTAACGTATATACTTAAGGAATATTTTGTTGATTTCTTCGACGATGGAGAAAATGTTTCATCACATGTAATACCATGATAAATATATTATTATTTTGTTCTAAAAATAATAAACAAGTTCTTAAATTGCTGTGTGCGCCGTAAAAGAATTTATCGATGCAACACACACTAGATAAAACCATGAAACTCGCTCAGGCATACCAAGGAACGCGGCTCAGCCTTTTACGATTAACCCAGAGGCTTTTTCACTGTATTCTCAAATGTCCAGCTTATCTAACACTACAGACTTGCTGAAAGAGTTTTCAATATACCTTAACAATTCCTACGTAAATTGAAAGGCACGAAAATAGTTAACAATGGAAATATTTTCGAGTATTTTATTTTAAAACAGGTTTAGCGGACAGCAACGAGAAGTGTCTCACCCCGTGCTGTTGTCCAAGCCTGCGACATCACGTAAAACTGACACCTAGTTCAGAGAGGTTTATTTCGCATGCGTTTCAGGTAGAGTTGTTGATTTCAGGGTTTCACTATTTACTAAACACACTGGGTTTCATTATTTAGTGAAATCTAAAATCATTTTCCTCCGTCTCTCAGCTAAATCTGCCATTGTTTAGCAAAGAAAGACAAATCCTTTTCGATAACAACGTCATGGTGTGTATTACAAGAGAATCCTCTAGCCTCACTTTTTCGTAATGGGGTACATGGAGTAGTGTGTGTCCCCTTACGTCCCCCTAAGCAACGCTTATTCAATATGTATATATGTGATATACCCAGCACGACAGACAAATGCTTTATGACAAAATGGTCCTTTGAAATGGGAAAAAAAGGGGATGGAATATATACACATGTGCACCATCTCAATGTACTTAAAGTAAGTCCTAAAGAATTTCAAAGATCGTATTTTCTTTCATTTTTCCTGTCAACATTAGTTCATAATATCCTGCTAACAAAGAACCTCAATATTTTCTTCTTAAAATTAGCTTTCCTCGAGTGTACAATGAAGCTGATCGGCGCTACCTTGTTAATATTAGTTGATTACAACTGTAGTAGAAAATAGATACATGTTCCTTGGCATCATGAATCAAACAGACAACCCATTTTTACTATCTCAACAATACTTAAGTTATAGTATGTTAAATTTCTGAATTAGAACTAATGGTTGTTATGAATAAGTGCCTTTAATCGAGATAATTTATATCTCCCCGAGCCTTTTAAATAACTTGATATCTACTAATATAAGATTTAAAAATTTGGTTAATTTTTCCTCATTAAACGGATTAAAATGACAGACTAATGAATATCTCACCTCCGACATCATGCGATCTGCCCCCGTTCGCTCCTCATCTTTGAATTCAATATTAGGGTTCTCATTAGAAACCAAATCTTTAAATTTTGGGTCTTCTTTTGTAATTGCCCCGTCGCTTAACCCGCTTGCTCCGATGGTATTTTCGGAGACATTAGGTACATGTTGTTTAAAAACTAGGGGGGTCAGTTTCCTGGGTCGTCGTCTCCTCCCGGAGCCCCTCCCAGGTCCACACTGAAGGGACAGCGGGGTGACGAGTAGCAGAATTATCACTACGGCTTGTACCAACTTCAAGGAACAATACATGGTATATAACCTCGAAAACAATCCAATACGTGTGGAAAACGTTCTCCTCCCAAGACTGTCCCTGATGAAAAATCCGTCAGGATCTGAGAAACATCACATAGAGAAATATAAAAATATATATATGAAAGCGTTTGGTTCCTGTCTTCCGAGTTGAACTTGTCGCTGTCCGTGTCTCTGCTCAACTCTGAACACTAATGGTTATATCTCACACATTTATAATAACAGTAGTAAAATCCAGCACCAGTGTGTAGTGGTTAACCATGGTTAATAAACTCAGTTGTAAATTCAGCCTTTCAAAACTGATTGGCACTCCGCGGTGTATATCCTCAGAGACTTTTCTCGCTCGTGATTGGTCGATCCGTCCCGTGTTCACCCCCATGGCTCGGCCCTAAAACAAAAATAAAATCCATTTCACATCATAACTCTTTCGCCGGTTTTAAGAAAGCCGAAAAACTGAAAAAGACGTTTTGCACATGTAGTCATGTGACCGATCAAACCCACCTCCGATCCAAGTGTACCCTCACATCTCCCTATTTCGCCGCTCCGTCTAAAGGGGCTCAGGCTACACTATCTTCCCCACTGGACGCTGAGGTTTTCACTGTATTGACTTAAAGGCAGCGTTTCAAACAGCTTGCGGTAATATGGGCCTCTACACTCTCGGTGTCCCGGCTCGCCTCCAGAGAGGCCTCTCGTGGTGGACAGACGCATTGTTATATCACTACGTGTACAGTGTATTATAACACTCGAAAGATAATTGCCCATCTATGAGACTGCATAAACGACTTTCTTTCTGACGGTTAGGATTACTCTTAATAGTATTTAGACCATTTAAAATGGTTAACAAGAAAACAAAATATATCCTTAATTTAAAGACTTTCTCATTTCTTAAAAGTGCTATTTGGTCGCTTTAAAGTTTAAACTATAAAATTGAAAATTTAATATGTATAAAGCTTAAATTTGTATATATTACACTACCATGGATGTATATGTATTGTATACTGAACTACAGCCAGCGGTATGCTACACAATCTATACAGGTCATGTGTCGTTACTCGTGAACCCCGCTAATCCAGACACTTTCTGTGGCAGAGCTGCACTCCATATCGATATTGCAGACACCTGTTTGAGTATCCAACAATACTGTGTTATGTTTGTTTGTTGTTTAACGCCGCATCCGGCAATATTCCAGCTACACGACGGCGGCTTGAAAATAACCGAGGTTGTACAAGACAATCCAGTGATTGATATTGTGAGGAAGAATCCACGCCGTCGGGGTACGAGGACACGCTATGAATCAAGTCATCGAGTCTGACCACCCAAGCCATTCGATCGCCCCTTCCGACCAGAATTGGTTGCTTGGGACCAATTCTAACCCATAGTATCCGCGGGGGTATGGTGTTATGGGTAGTTTTAGAATTGCTGATGAAGTTATGCAAGTCTGTTGCTAATGACGTATACAAATTGGATGCTGATGACGTTATATCAATATGTTGCTGATGACGTTATAAAAATCTGACGCTGATGACGTTATACAAACGTGATGCTGGTGACATTATAGAAATATGATGCCGAAGGCGTTATACAAATCCGATTCTGATGACGATATACAAATCTGTTGCTGATGACGTTATACAAATCCGACGCTGATTACGTTATACAAATCTGTTGCTGATGACGTTTTACAAACGTGACGCTGGTGACATTGTACAAATGTGATGCTGATGGAGTTATACAAATCCGACGCAGATGACGTTATACAAATCTGTTGCTGATGACGTTATACAAATCCGACGCTGATTACGTTATACAAATCTGTTGCTGATGACGTTTTACAAACGTGACGCTGGTGACATTGTACAAATGTGATGCTGATGGAGTTACACAAATCCGACGCAGATGACGTTATACAAATCTGTTGCTGATGACGTTATACAAATCCGACGCTGATGACGTTATACAAATCTGTTGCTGATGACGTTTTACAAACGTGACGCTGGTGACATTGTACAAATGTGATGCTGATGGAGTTATACAAATCCGACGCTGATGACGTTATACAAGTCTGTTGCTGAAGACGTTACATCACATAGCTAAGCGATAAATCGCAAAGAACAATGAAGATCGATGTGTGGTTTATTTCACGATAAAACATTGTTCTATCATGACGTCATTTCTGGAGATTCGAACATGCGTCGCAACTTGATGACGTCGTAAATTGGACGACGTTATTTTTGTGGGGGAAGTGTCTGGTGAGTTGTTCTCCATAGATGTAGCTGGACAGCACAGATGCACGCAATGGCCGAACGAGATATGACAATCGGTATTGGGAGAAAAGGTGCAGATAATCGACGTTAAAATTGTGAAAATACCAAACTTAATTCCCCTGTACATTAAATGGAGTTGTCGGATTGTATTCAAGGAGTCATGATTATTTCAATACGGGTTGTACAATTTATTACGCCAATAATGGTTTATTCGCCCTGTAGTGTTCTATTGTACGATAAACAAGTCCCACTCGTCGTATATTTCTTAAATACAAGTATGTTGCTGATGACGTTATGTAGTTTGTTTGTTTGTTTGTTTGTTTGTTTGTTTGTTTGTTTGTTTGTTTGTTGTTTAACGCCGCACACAGCAATATTTCAGCTTTATGACGGCGGTCTGTAAATATTCAAGTCTGGACCAGACAATCAAGTGATTGGCATCATGAGCATCAATCTATGCAGTTGGGATGCGATGACATGCATCAACCAAGTCAGCGAGCCTGACCACCCATTCCCGTTAGTCGCCTCATACGACAAGCATAGTCGCCTTTTAGCACAAGCATGCGTTGCTGAAAACATACTCTACCCCGGATCTTCATGGGCCCACATCTCAGAAAAGACCAGCTGGCATTATTTTAAAAGTACTTATCGACATCGTGTGATTTCCTATTGATTGTTTGATTGTTCGTTGTTTAACACCGCCGCACATTCCAGCTCTATGACGGCGGTCTGTAAATAACCAAATATTGGCCAGGAAATCCAGTGATGGACATAATGAGCATCGATCTACGCATTTCGGATTCGATTCGTCTTACCACCCGATCCCGCTAGTCGCCTCTTAAGACACGCATGGGTTGATAAAGACCAATTTCTAACCCGGATTTTCACGGGCTGTCAGACTTCTTAGAAGTAAGTCAATAGTGTAGTTGCTGTCAAGAATGCAGGCCAGTTATACAGGTGACACAAGGTCATTCAATCATGAGGCTCCTACGATGTACGTTAGTCAATGTTGGCTACCTGATGTTGTGTTGGAGTATGTTCATCCCACGTGCGGCTGATGTCAGCCTATCTCTCGGACGACCCGTTTGTAAACTAACCGTGGTGATGATGCGTTTGTGAGCTAACGCCGCACTCAGAAATATTCAAGCTATATGGCAGTGGTCTGTAAGTAATCGAGTCTGAACTAGACAATCCAGTGATTGACATCATGAGCAGCGATAAACGCATTTGGGATACAATGACATGCATCAACCAAGTCAGCGAACCTGATTCTCTGGTCCAGACTCGATTATTTGCAGAACCCCGTCATATAGCTGGAATGTTGCTGAGTGCGGCGTAAAACCACAAACCACCCAACCAACTTAATAATAATGACTTTAATCTGTGATCTAGTTAATCGTGAGGTTGAAGCAAAAATATTTGAGAAAACACAAAAGATCGAAAAACTAGTGGTCTTTTCTAGACGGACGAATTTAACATGTATGACAGGGGAGGTTACTCTGCCATTGATCACGTGATGACAGATGCCCTGTGATGGAGCCTAGTGGGCGAGTTTTTCCTCTGGGTTCGATTCTGTGGGAAAATAATTTCTGATGTAGCCTCCGGCTGATATTGCTGTGATATTGGTAGGAACAGTCATAACTGTACTCACTCACTCATAAGATCGATCATCTTAAGCTCTCAGTGAAGTCATCGTTTACACTCTGAGTGGCAAGAGCGTATGTAGTACTCGTCTCTCAGCTACACAGTGAGCGGCAAGAGTGTATGTGTACTCGTCTCTCAGCTACACAGTGAGTGGCAAGAGTGCATGTGTACTCGTCTCTCAGCTACACAGTGAGTGGCAAGAGTGCATGTGTACTCGTCTCTCAGCTACACAGTGAGTGGCAAGAGTGCATGTGTACTCGTCTCTCAGCTACACAGTGAGTGGCAAGAGTGCATGTGTACTCGTCTCTCAGCTACACAGTGAGTGGCAAGAGTGTATGGTGTACTCGTCTCTCAGCTACACAGTGAGTGGCAAGAGTGCATGTGTACTTGTCTCTCAGCTACACAGTGAGTAGCAAGAATGCATGTGTACTTGTCTCTCAGCTACACAGTGAGTGGCAAGAGAGTATGGTGTACTCGCCTCTCAGCTACACAGTGAGTGGCAAGAGTGTATGGTGTACTCGTCTCTCAGCTACACAGTGAGTGGCAAGAGTGCATGTGTTCTCGTCTCTCAGCTACACAGTGAGTGGCAAGCGTGAATGTGTACTCGTCTCTCAGCTACACAGTGAGCGGCAAGAGGGTATGGTGTACTCGACTCTCGGCTACACAGTGAGAGGCAAGAGTGTATGGTGTACTCGTCTCTCAGCTACACAGTGAGTGGCAAGAGTGCATGTGTACTCATCTCTGCCTTCAACATTGTAACAACCAGAACAAAAGATTACATTCATTCATGGGGGTTTTCTTAACGCAGTTTGAGACGGAAAGCTATTAGCTTAATGTTGACTCCCACACAACCCATCTACATTTTATTACCGAACCAATGGGAAAATAAACAATTGATAATTTCAGACAAAATGTTGTTAAAATAATTATTGATTCGATATTCGAGATATACCCAGGCCAGAATCTTAGCTTGCCTATTAGAGGGGACTATGCTTTATACATATGTCGCCTTAGACACTGTATCTTCTCTCATATTGCTAACAACAGTCAATAAAGTCCGCGTCGAAATCTCTGTTGTGCCATAATGACGTTCGACTAGACAGATGGGGCGATAATATCAACGCTTTACACTTGCGCTAGATGCCGGGAGATGCTTGTACGTTTAACACGGAGAATAGGGCTGAGTGTGCACTTAAAATACAGCGGCGCCATAAATGTAATCATGTTTAATCCATCTTATTATTGAGTAGATCAAGACGTTTTAATTATCACAATATATTACTTTGACATTTCGTTGCGAAGAACATGCCACATCAATACGCATCGCCAGTGAGCACGAGCGCAGATCGGCTTGCGTCTTTGACTAACACAACAGTTACACATGGAAGTCATATCGCTATGGTTACACAGAGTGGTCATATCGCTATGGTTACACAGAGTGGTCATATCGCTGTGGTACACAGAGTGGTCATATCGCTATTGT